ATCCCTCATCTTACAAACAACTCCAGATCTGATTTCCACTGTCATAAGTTAGTTTTTATATTCTACAACTTTAAGTAAATGGAATAAAATAGTGTGTACTTTTTTGGGCTTGGCTTCTTTTACTCATCATATTTTTTAGTTCATCCATATTGTTTCACGAGTCACTGAATGGTTCCTTCGTGTGCTGAGTAATATTCCACTGTATACATATACAATGTTTTGTTTGTTTATATGTTGAAAAATACCTGAGAATAGAAGGGAAAAAAATGGAAACAAAGCTTTTGTAAATAAGGAGGGGGAAGAAGGGTTGAAGGAAGGTGAGGAGATTGGGGAAGAAATGATGAATCAAGATATATCATGTATGAGCTGGATGTGGTGGCACATACCTATAATCCCAGCACTCAGGAGGCTGAGGCAGGAGGATCGCTGTGAGTTTGAGATCATCTTAGGCTACACAGTGAGTTCCAGGTCCGTCTCAAGTACATACTGAGATCCTGTCACAAAAAAACCAATCCCCGCCAAAAACACCCAAAAAAGATATATTATGTATGGATACAAATTTCCTATCATGAATGTGATGTGTGTGTGTGTGTGTGTGGCAATAAAATTAATTAAAAAAAAAAAAGAAAAAGAAAAACATCTGGGTTTACCCCAGATAATATGATTAGAATTTCTGGGAAGATTCTTATACAAAGCTTCTTATGAATATATTTTCATTTCTCCTGGATACATGTCTAGGAGCAGAATTGTCGGTGACAGGATAAACTTTACCTCTTTAAAAAACCTGCTGAGGGGCCAGGTATTTAGCTCAGTGGTGCCGCCACCTGCCTCACAAGTGCAAGGTTTGATTTCTGGTACCCAAACAAACAAACAAAAAATACCTGTTGCTGAACAGTTTTCCAGAGTAACACATTTTACGTGTTCAACAACAACATATGAAATATCTGGCTATTTCACAGTCTCGCCAACATTTGATATTGTCAGTCTTTTTCATTTTAGTGGGGGAGCAGTGGTATCTCATTAAGGCTTTCAGTAACATTTTCCTGTTTCTTAATATCAAGCACTTTTTCATGTGCTTAAGGACCTTTGTATCTTTGTGAAATGTCTAAGTCTTCTGCTCATTTCAAAGAGTTGGGCTGCCTTTTTATTACTGAGGTGTAGGAATCTTTCTAATCCATCCTTTGTTAGACATGGGTTGAGAATATTTTCTTCATGGTTGTGATTTGTCTACTTATTTCTTAAAAGACAAAAGATTTACACAATCTGAAAAGCAACCAGAGAATACTCATTTCTTAATAGTATCTTTTTTAGCGGGGAGGATTGAACTCGGGTCCTTGAGCTTGCGAGGCAGGTGGCAGAACCATTGAGCTAAATCCCTGGCCCAATAGTATCTTTCTAAAATTTTATTTATTTATTTATTTGTTTGTTTGTTTGTTTGTTGGTACTGGGGATTGAACTGGGGTCCTTGCACTTGCAAGGCAGGCCACTGAACCGCTGAGCTAAATCCCGGGCCCTAAAATTTTTATTTTTAGACATGGTCTCATTATGTAGTCCAGGTTGGCCTTAAACTTACAATCTTACTGCGTCAGCTTCTGAAATGCTGGAATTACAGGCATGTACTAGTTTAAAAGTATCTCTTAATGGGCAAAAGATTTTTATATTTGAAAAGGACCAATTTATGCTTTTTTCTTTTTAATGGCTTGTAAAACCCTCCAAGTTCTATAAATTCTCCTGTGATTTTTTTCTGATAGCTTTCTTGTGTTAGATGTTATGTTCAAGTTTATAACACATTTCAAAATGATTTGTTTGTACCATGTGAAGCAGGGGCAGAGATTCATTTTTTGTCCACATAGATACCTGGTTGTGCCAGCAGCATTTCTTAAAATGATTTTCCTTTCCTAGTTGAATTGCTCTTGTGTCCTTGTCTTAAGTCATCTGACTGTACACATGTAAGTTTATTTTATGACTACTCTGAATTCAATTTCTCTGGTTTATTTGCTAGTCCTTTTGCCAATTCATCTTTTCTTTTATCGGTACATTTTAGGTATACAATATAATGACACTCATCATTGGAAATTTGCACCTTTACATAATCTTGGTTCTTATTTTTTCCCCATTCCCCTGCCCTCCCCTCAACCCCTTCACCCCTCCCTATTTACAAAGACTTTGTTTTCATTTTTTCCTTTTCTCCTATTAATTCCATTTCTTTCTTTGCTTTCCCCAACCCCTCCTACCTCCCCTTCCTCTTTGGACCTTTTCTTCCTATTTCACATTATCTATTATCCCTTTTGAACCGTATTTACACTTTCAGTTTCTCACACCAGAGAAATTATTTGGTATTTACACACGTGTGTCCTACTTATTTCAGAGTATTGCCTCAATGTGTATCTACTTAGCTATAAATGTCTCTAATTTCTCTTTATGGCTGAGTAGTACTCCATTTTATTTTTAAAAACCCCACATTTTCTTTATCCAGTCTCCAGATGATAGGCAATTGGGCTGTTGCCAAGAGTTAGCTATTATAAACTGTGCTGCATGAACATGGTTGCACATATATCACAGTGGTATGATTCTTTTCATTCTTTTGGGAAGATACCCAGCAGGGGAATAGCTGGGTCAAATGGGACTTCCAATCCTAGTTCTCTGAGGTGTCTCCATAATGATTAACACGGTGGTTGCACCACTCTGCACTCTCACCAGCAGTGGAGCAAGGTTCCTCTTTCCCCACAGCTCCGCTAGCATTTGTTATTGCTTGATTTCTTTTTTCTTTTTCTCTCTCTTTTTTTTTTTTTTGGTACTGGGGATCAAACTCGGGACCTTGGGCTCGTGAGGCAGGCGGTGGAACCTCTGAGCTAAATCCCTGGCCCCTGGTTGATTTCTTGATAGCAGCTATCCTTTCTGGGGTGAGGTGAAATCTCATTGTTCTCATTTGTGTCTCTTGAAAGACCAGTGATGTTGAATGTTTTTTCATATGTTTATTTGCCATTTTTACTTCTTTGTCTGAGAAATGTCTGTTCATTTCAGATGATTACTATAGGTTTAAGTCTTGATGCCAAGCAGAGTTAAGTTTGCCAACTTTGCTCCCCTTTTTCAAAACTGTTATGGTTAGTATAGCTCCGTTGGTTTTTCCAAATACATTTTAAAATCAATATGCCAATTTCTATAAGAAAGCCCGTTGGGATTTTGACTGGAATCTATAGATCTACAGATAAATTTATAGGCATATGCCATCTTAACAGCATTGAACTTTTCAATCAGTAAATATGAAATATTTCTCCATTCATATAATTTTCCTTAATTTCTCTTAGCAACGTTTGGAAGTTTTCAAACTTTTTTTTTGGTGATGCTAGGGATCCATGCTAGCTAGGCAAGCACTCTACCACTGAGATATAAGCATCCAACTCTCTTTATATATTTTTTAAAAAATCTTGCAACACTGCTACAAATTTACTCATCTGTTCAAACAGTGTTTTCATCAGTTCCTTAGAACCCTGTATATATGAACATATCATCTTCACATAAAGACTTCTTTTTCTTGTGTTGCACTGGCTAGGGCTTCTAAATTTTCTGAAAAATTCTGAATAGAGGTAGTAAAAGTGTACCTTTTTGTTTTGTTCCCAATATTAAGGGGAAAATGTTTAAAAATTAATCTTTAAGTGACTTTTTTTGGTAGAATTTTTTTGGTAGGGTCTCTTCATCAAGGTAAGTAAATCTCCTTTTACTTAGTAATGGAGAAGTTTTTATCAGAAATGGGTGCTGTATTTTGTCAAGTGCTTTTTCTGCATCTACAGAAATGATCTCAACCTTTTCTTCTATAAACTGTTAACATGGTAAATTACACTGGCTTATTTTCATGTATTAAATTTAAATCAATTTGTATTCCTAGGGTAAATCCCACTTGATCATGGAGTATTTTTATTTTTACGTATCACTGGAATTGATTTGCTAGATAAGGATTTTCTTGGGGAGGGGTACCAAGGATTGAACTTGGGTCTTTGTGCTTTTGAAGCAGGCGGTGTAACCATTGAGCTGGCCCAATAAGGATTTTTTGTTTCAGTACTGGGGATCAAACTCAAAGACTGTGCATTTGCATCAGATCGACACTATTTCTTCCTTAAGCATGACAGTATTCTAACAGTGAAGCCATTAGGTAGCAATTGGCATTTTCTTTGTGCGAAGTTCTTAATTTTTTGTATTGGAGATCGAACCCAGGGACTTTTGCACTGAGCCGCGTCCTCAATCCTCTTAAAATTTTATGACAGGATCTCCCTAGGCTGCTAAATTGCCCAGGCTGGGCTTGAAATTTAGCCTCTCTGAGTGCTGAGATTACAGGTGTGTACTACCACACTTAGTTTTTTTGTAGAAAGTTGATTATGAATAAAATATCCTTATTTCTTTTTTGTTTATTTTGTCACTTTTGTTAATCTGTATCTTTCAAGAAACTTGTCCCTTTTATCTAGGTTGTCAATTTTTTATTGGCAAAAAGTTGTTCATAATATTCTTCATTTTTTGCAGAGGGGAGGGTACTGGGGAATTGAACTCAGGTCCTTGTGCTTCTAAGGCAGGCAGCAAAACCACTGAGCTAAATCCCCGGCCCGATTCTTTACCATCGTTTTAAATGTCTGTAAGATTTGTAGTGATAAAAAACAAAAAAAGATCTGTAGTGATGTCCCTTCTTTCATTCTTGATATTTGCAATTTGTAGCCCAAGCTTTTGGTAAAGAAAGAGAACACTGCACATGTCTCAACACTCAGGAGGCTGAAGCAAGAGGATCACTGCAAGTTCGAGGGCAATTTAGGCTGCATAGTGAGTTTGAGGCCAACCTGGACTGCATAAAGAGACCCTATCTCCAATAAAAAAGAGACGGAGAGAACATTGAAGATAAAACTGAAGTCTCCTTCATCCCTAAGTCTATCCTCTTCCCTGTTATTCCCCTATATAATTTGTATTCTTCAGTAGTGTTAATTTCTGCTGCTCTCCTGGACCTCCTCTTCACTTACCATGTTTCCTGCTTCTGCAGCCAATCGGGCAGCGTAGCGAGCTATTAGCTGGTGTTCCTCATCCAGTCGATTAGGACTGTCCAGGACACTGCCGAAGAAATAAAAATTCAACAGGTGTCTATTAAACATCCCCAACTCTTGCTCCAATCTTACAAAAAACAAATAGGGAAAAAAGCTTGCAAATAAGAATGGTAACAAAAGAAATGAAGGCCTGGGTCATAGATACTGATGGTTTTGTGAGCAAAAAGGGAATTCAGAGAAAATGATGTGGCTGCACGTGTCGTTCCTCCCCAGCAGAACATCTCCCTGCTCTCACACCACTGAAGGGGATACTTTTAAAATGAAGGGCTGAGAGAAGACACAGCACCTACTAGGTCTAAGACAGGGATTTCTAACCAAATGTTTGGGGAAATTAATTAAGAAAACTACAGCATCGTGAAAATAGAAGGCCAAGGAATAGTATAATTAATACTAGCTGAACAAACGTGGGGAACCCTGCCCAGGGCTGGACAAACACACTGTGAGGCTGGAGAAGATTTCCCTTCTTTTATGAAGTTCGTTTACAATGACAGCCCCTTTTAGAGTGAACCAATTTTTTCCATTATTCTTTAACAAGAATGTCCACAGTTTAGAAACAGAAAGATCTGCTCAGATGGGAGGATGTGGCACCTGAGTGCAAGGAGGGGGCTTGAGTAGCAGGCTCACTCTATCCAGATGCCTGACTTCTTTACTCCAGCACGTTACATCAATCTGTTTATGCAGGTTAGGGCAGCCCTTCCTTGATTAACAGGGACTGTGGCTACATAATTCTCTCGAAATCTGGCAGAAGTTTTAGGACAATGGTGATGATGAGACTGACCAGAGATGGCTGTTGTGGATTGGCTCTACTTTAGCCCTAGGTTCCTAAAGTTTTCTAAAACCCTTGATTGGAATTTGGCAGTACGACAAGTAATATGTAAGAATTAAGTCCAATACTCACTAGATCTTGTTATAATGACTGAGGGGGATCTGGGAAGACTTTTTGTCTTTTTGGTTTATTGAGACAAGGTCTTGCTATGTAGTTCAGGCTGGCCTTGTACTTACTATGTAGTCTAGGCTGGCCCTGAACTCATGGTAATCCTCCTGCCTCAGCCTCCCGAGTGCTGGGATCACAGGCATGCGCCACCACGCCTGGTTGGGAAGACTGATTTAAAGATCTTTCTGAGCTTTTCTTGTATAGAATCCACTGTATTTTTTTTTCTAGATTAAAAATAAACTTTCTATGTTTTTATCGCTGTGGCGTTTTTCTAAGCTTAACTCAGTATTTTCTTTAGGATGGATTTTTTTAAAAAAATGGGCTTTAAGTTGCCTAGCTACAAAATCTATTACATTCTATGATTTTAGGTGTGCAAATGTGGGTTTCTAGCATATGTGACTGTCTGTTCCAATGATGACCTCGTACTGAGATTATGGTACCACACGTTAAGGGCCCTATGGTAAGAGCTGAATTTTAAGATTTATGCTGTGAAGTGTTTGTCTCAAACAAAATAATTATCTTTTAAATGAAAATAACAAAAATGAATAATTAACAAAACAAGTAGATGATATTATGGAAGGATTAGCATCCTATAAAGTGGGATGTAAATATGCTGACCTCTGTAAAGGCAAGGGACACAGTGAGTTCTGTGTAAAAGAGCTCCTTTGCCCGAACACACCCAGGGAAGGTCAATCTTATACGCCATTTACACACGTATGGACAACACGGCTGCTTTATCACTCTACTTTCTAGCCAGAAACTAGAATCTTGTGTTAATGAGACTTTTCACAGTAAGTAAAAATTATCTGAGGGCAATTAGAAAGGTTCCTTATTTTTCTGTTTGCCTTGACTTATATTTTTAGATTGGCCAGGAAATTTCTGACTTTTCCAAGGAAGTACAGAGTTCCATTCTTTAAACTATGACAAAGAGATGCAGCAATCGTCCCTCATGTTCTCTCAGGGCCACCTGGATCAGGCAGCCCTAGGCAATGGGACTTGACCTTTATCAAACCTACCATAAATTTTTGTGAGTTGAAATACTGGGTAGTAATCTCTGCCATGATTCTCCAGCTATTTTTACTATAGTAGCTTTAAATCACCTTGGACAACTACTCTTACTGTTAAAAAGTAATCTGTCCTGCCTAAGGTGAAACAACTACTTTCAGAGACCCAAAGGCGGGGACAGCGGGCAGAAACACTCCGAGGATGGGGAGATGCCCTCTGTGATGTAATTATCAGGCCCTTCCTCCCTGCTATACAATAGGCTATCAAGCCCACCTGGGAATCTGGAGGGCCACAGAATTCCTCTAGAAACTACAAGAGGGGTACGGAGTACAGTTTTAAACACAGTCCTTTTCGTATGTCATGTTTTCCCCATTCACTATTCCACTTTTATCATGGGGAGTAGGAATGAGCTCACATGACTTTCCCAAGGACATGCTATGGGAAAGACTAAGATCAAAATTTAAGGCTCTGGCTTGTGTTTTACATACACAGCAGTTGACAAATTACGTTTTCTCTCTCTCAAGAATCTCAAAGCAGGGCTTTCCAAGCTGTTTGGCACTATAACTCCTCTCTGCAGGTGTGCAAAAGGGAGAGATGACTTTAGGCTGACTGAACTGTATTTGTCATTGCTCTGGGAATGGTGGTGGTACGAACATGGAATGGATAGGAGGCCTTGGGTATGCCTGAGTATAACAGCATTTTGGTATCAACTTTTTAAAAAAATGGTTAATTCTGCTATAGTTAGTGGTTACTGAATCTATCCCAACCCATGAAGGGATCACTCAAAGCAAGTCATTATCACAGTAGTTTTCAAGATGAGAGAGGTAAGACTGTTATAATACATATAATTATAATAATATGAAGAGATAGATACAGTTTGTTAAGAAGCCTCTGAGGTGACAATGATCTGTTGAAAATCAGTGGTTTCAAGAATCAACAATGCTAGATTTCTGGTAAGAGACAAAGCATGGTACAGGTGCAATAGGGGTGATGGTATTGAAGCCCCCCCACATTACACAACTGATATCTATGGGTTAATCAGCCCTAAACTTTGAACGTTAATGAAAAGATTTCATTATTTAGGTAAGAATGAACAGGAAGAGGATGCATGAAATGCCTCTGTAAACACCATATCTTTGGAGCTCTCTATCTCTCAGAGGTGTACACAGTCTTCCAGTATAATCTGCAGAGACCAAACCTGACTTCAGAGGAGACTTTCTAATAACATGTTTAGGTAAGTGTTAGGCTTGGCAAGGACCCATCTCTTGTGGAAGCTAATGCTTCAGCAATTCTTTTAACAGTGCCATTCATAGCTGGTAGCTGTGCAAAAACACCTGCACTTGAGAGCTTCTCCCACTGGCAACCCCAGGAAACGCAGCTCTTGCTTCCCCCAATCAGCCCTGGCCACCCGCCTGGTGCTGCTGTGCTACCACTGACCGTGCACAGTGCTGCAGACGGGCCACATAGGAGGCTATCAGCGCATGCTCATCCGCCAAAGGACTGGGTATGTCCTGGCTATACTGTAACCTGGGAGTGACGGAAGCAGAGACAGCAAGTGTGACACAAACACATACAGAGGGAGAGATGAACATGGATTAAAATGAGCAAACTTAAAAATAGAAAAAATAATACGATAATGAAAACAATAAGAAAACCACAATGTAAAATGAAATACAGTTAGACCTTTGGGGATCTGTCCCACAATGCTTTGAACAAAAGCAGTCATTCAGAAGACACCTTTGGCTGATTGACACCATAGCCCTTGAGAAGGAGGAACCCTGCTTACCAGTCTTGTTCAGGTTCTGCACTCTGTGACAGATGCATTTTTTAGGGAAAGCTGTCTGGCAGATCACAGTGGATATATTTAATATTCCTAAATGACCCCTAATGTTACGTTTGTATAGTTTGTTCTACACTTAATGACTGTCAGTGTTATCTCATACTACCAGTATATACTTTCACTTCTATAGGAATACTATCTTTAGTATCAGTTTCTCTCCTAAACTGGGTACTTGAACCAAAGTTATTAGAATTATATCTAGTTATAAGACAGTACCGTGGGGCTCTCTCTTAAGTACAAGTCTAGTCTTTTAAAAACATTTTTACTACAGAAACATTAAAACTTCCATAAAACAGAGCAATCTAATGATCACCTCTCATGTATACATCACCAAATTTAAACAAGTATCAATCTTTCAATAATTTTGTTTATTCTTTTTCCTCATAGCTTTTTTGTGCAGAAAAAGGTGGCTAATGCAAACTCAAGGAAATTATTTCACTCAGGAATCCTTGAGCCAGTATGTCTATCAGGCAGTAAAAATATTTTACACCAAAAAAATTGACAGAAGTGCTTTTAATATCTCAGTTCATCTGAAAAATGCAATTTTATAAAAAAAAATCTTTTCCAGTTAAAATCAAGATCCAAATAAAGTTCCCATTTTGTATATGGTTGATATGTTCCTTTTATGCTTATATTTGATTAACACATTTCTATCTTTAATCCAAAGGGTCCTCTCTTTTCTCTGTTCATTTCATGACATTTATTTATAAATAAATCTGGTTACATTGTAGAATACCCTATATCCTGGATTTGATAGGCTGTTTCACATGGTGACCCTTAACTCGCTTCTCCATCCCCTGAGGTTAGATCTGGCTGCTGACTGAAGTTTTATTTTTGAGAAGTGGTAAGGATCAGTGTAGATAATATGTTGCACTTACAAATAAAAAAGGAAGCACATATTTGAATGGATTATAGATAATGATTAGTGGGTTCAGGAGTTATTGGTCCTATTTCTGTAGGAAGTCCCCATCAAGTTTTTACCTAATGCTTTTAGCATTTATTGATGAGTCTTGCTTAGATTCATTCTTTTGTTAGGGGTTGGAACATGTTAATTTTTCTAATTGTATTCTCCTTTCTGCAAGTGTCCATTTATGCAAATGTCTATTTGTTTTTCTTGAAATACTACTCATTCAAGGAAGATAAACAAAAGTTGATATCCTCCATTACTTAACAAAACTCAGAATGAATTAGCGATCTTCAACGGTTACCAAGAAATTTCTTTTTTATTACCACTGTGAACTCAGACTTTTATGTATCTGAGGTGGCCTGATCCATTTCTATCTCCCTTGCTATTAGAAGGTAGGGCCTGGTTGGAGGTGGGCCACTGGGGGTGTGACCTGGAACCTCGAATTCTTATCCGGGGTTCTTTTCTTTTCTCTATTTCCTGACTGCCATGGGTTGAGTACCTCTTCCTCCACCATAATCCTCTGCTATCCTATTTATGCCTCAGAACCAGATGATCAGGCTAAAACTCTTGAGCCTAAAATAAACCTCTTCTTGAAGTTGTGTCAGGTACTTTCAGTAACTATGACAACATATGACCCTCAACTTACAAATAGGTTTTGTTTCAGAAACTTGTTTTTCTGAAGCAGTTAATAGTCTCTAATTCAGAAGGTTTTCCTATAAAACAATAACTGTTCTATTTCTAAGATGTCAAATGTTGATTTGATTCATACAAGTAGGTGATTTTCATACCTAAGTTTTACTAGCACTTCTGATAAAAACTGGGCATTTCAAACAATGTATACAGCAACTAAGAGGTCCTGAAGCAAAACGCAACCACAGCTGCTGCCCTCTTGGTGCTAAACAGTCTTGTAAGAAAAGATATGACAACTCAAATAATGCAAAATTACAAATGTAGTAAGTGTTGGGAGAGAGGCAGTACCCTTTAAGAAGGCTTAACAGACTTTTACGCCATCAGGGAGACCAGTTCAATCAGGAGGAGCCACAGAGTTAAAAGAAGAGTGACAGTGGCATGAACATACTCTCCCCATGGGAGTCTACACAGCAGTTATTCCCTCAAGGCACCCCTGGCTCCAAACCATTGGTATGAAGACCAGAGCTGAGGACAGAAGGTCCTGATGGGACTGGTAAGGTCTGAAGCCCCACCTGTGAAAACAAACTTCTCCAGACTATCCGAACGAACTCCTTGGTCTCCGTAGATTCAGACTGTCTGAGACCAAGGCCTCGAAATCTGCACTTGAAACTGGTATGCATGTGCTGTAGGTATAGCTGGACACGTGAGAAGGTCTCCCCTAGGGGATATCTCACACTTTCAGCAGAATCCCTCGTGGAGTGGGCAAAGCTAAGTGGCACACCTGTGGGAACAGGCATCAAGAAGGAATTTGCATGGGGAAAGTAGGGACGAAGGGCAGGCAATGGGGTTGGTCAGAATCAGTACAATATGCTGTGGGCTGGGTGTGAGTGGCAGTTTGTAGCCACTGATTATAGAATTCCTTAGGAAGGCGGTAGATTATAGCAACTGAGGGCATGGGCTTGAGTTTTAACTACTTAACGGTTTACCCTGAGCATCACTCCGGCAGTGTGTTTATTATATACTATCCTGAGCATCATTTGGGCATGTGTCATTTCAACCAGTGGATTTTTTTTTAATGGTACTGGGGATCAAACTCAGGAACTTGGCACTTGCAAGGCAGGCAGTGGCACCACTAAGCTAAAATCCCCGGCCCGACCGTAGATTCTTATATTGAATAGATTTGATACAATTGTCATTTTTATATTTCCTGTTATATTATTTTTATAGCTATAAATCTTTTTTTTTGCTTTGTTTTGTTTTTTGGTACTGGGGATTGAACTTGGGGGTCCTTGTGCTTGTGAGGCAGGTGGCAGAACCACTGAGCTAAATCCCCAGCCCCTTGTTATATTATTTTTAAAAAATTAATTTAAAAATATGCAATTTTGGGTCATCCGATAAATTATTGGACTGGTAAGTAGCAAATCCACACTCTGATATTTACTGTCTGTACAACTTGGACAATGGCTTTTCTATGCCTTAACATATTTAAAAGAAAATAATAATATAAAATCTACTCCTTGCGATATTTACCTTATAGAGTATTAGGAGGATTATGTAAGCTAACGCCAATAAAGTATCTGGCCCATACACTATAGCAGTCATTATTAATGAGGTACTTGAGATCAATCAGACAATCTCAGTTCTCCCACCATACTTCCTCCCCTTCTGTTCCCCAGACTGACCAAGTGCAAATTAATGGTGTCACTGTTCACTTAGCCATCGGGCCAAAATCAGGCTTCTTATATCCAATCCATTAGCATATCCCTTCAGCTATATTTTCTTACCACTCCCACAGCTACCATAGCTTAAGGCAAAACTTACCACATCCCAGCTACTCCATCAGTCCCTTGACTGGTCTCCCAGTTTCCTCTCTACTCCACTATTAATTCTCCACAATCCACTGAGTGATCTTTGAGTAGTAAATCAGTGTTGGGATGATGAAATGTTCTAAAATTGATTGTGGTAATGGTACAACTGCATATACTAAAACCACCGAGCTGTGCACTTTGAATGGGTGAACTGTACAGTGTATGAATTACATCTTGAATCAAGGATCCTGACTAATAATGCTGAAACTGCTGAACAGTCTATTGGGACTGAACAAATATGTAAATGGATGTTGGATGACAGCAGTCGGGTTCTCACCAGTGGAGGGGGAATTTACACATAACCAGGGGAGAATGGTTTGAGGGAACCATGTGATACTGGATAAGAGCCGGGTACTTCAGTATAATAACGCATGTATAGTTCGATGTAAACACCAAAGAATAAATGTGCTGAGAAATGCATATATAGAAATACTGATTTGTATTGCTATTCTCCAATAAAAGGATCCAGGGATTCTTAAGAAGAGCCTAGAGCACATTGCAACACTAGGAAGTGAGCAAGTACGAAGAGGAGGAGCAGGAGGAATGTGAGGAGGAGGAGGAACAGCAAAGGGATACAAGAATCAACTTGAAAGAGAGATCCCAATAGCCAGAGACGAAACAATGAGTGACAAAATAAATAATGTAGTATTGTGCTATGATCCAAAGTAGAAAATAAATGTCTATGAGTCCAAACTGATAGAAATTAATGACTGCACCGGGTGTGGTGGTGACACCTGTAATCCCAGGACTTGGGAGGCTGAGGCAGGATTGCTGTGAGTTTGAGGCTGGCCTGGGCTACACAGTGAGTTCAAGACCAGCCTGAACTAGATAGTGAGACCCTGTCTCAGAAAACAAAACAAAAAACAAACAAAAGAAGACTGGATTAATAAATGGAAAATATATCCAGGCTGTAGATACTTCCTTCTGCAGGAGGCAGAGCTCGCCCTTCCTCTCCCTCCCAGTGGGAACTGTATTTGGCAACTTGCTTGCAAAGAAGAGAAAAGAAAATGAAGAAGCCCTATAAACACTATCTCAGATAGGCGAGCAAGGATACCACCATTAGCAAGAAGTCATGCTGATACTCTGGGATGATCAGGGCACTTCACTTCTGTGGTGTTCTCTAAAATCTACAACCCCAGGATCCAGTGCCTGCCTTGCAAGTGCAAGGACCTGAGTTTGACCCCTGGTACCAAAAACAACAAAACAAAAAACGAAAAGCAAACAACTCCAGTCTAAGCATTAGCAAGTCATATAAGGCTGGGTGTGGTGGCAGATGCCTGTA